AGCGCGGGGGGCTGGACTGGAGCCGGGCTGGAGGCGCGCTGCTGCCGCTGGCTGCCGACCCAGGCCGCGGGCCCTTCGCCGCTTCTCGCTTCCCGGGCCAGGGAGAAGGAGGTCCTCGGCCACTGGGGGGAGGCGAGGCCTTCGGAGCCGCCGCCCGCGCGGGAGCGCCCGCGGCCGTGGGCGCCGCCACGGCTGCCGGTGCGCTCGCGGGCGGGAGGCGCTGCTGTCCCGGCGCCCCGCCCCACCGCGCGGCGACGAGCTGGCGCGGGTCGTCGCGGAGACTCGCCACGGGCTCGAGTGCGGGATGGCGGTCTTCCTGGGAGCGGGGGTGCCAAGCCTGGGGGGCACGGGCCTCTACCGGGTCCCAGGGGCGGCCCCCGAGCCGCGAGGACCCGTGGCCGTCCTGGTCAGGCGCATGCTGTTTCGCGAGCGAGGGTCGTTCGTGGGGCGCGAGAGCGTGGCCGACGCCAGGGTCTCATGTCGAGCTCGTCGGGGGCCGTTGTGAGAGAAGGCCGTGGGGAGTCATCGCGGAGCAGAGCGTGGTGACCCCGTTCTCGGGCTGGCCCGTCCAAGGTCCCCACGCAGTTGGGTGGGTGGTTCGCTGCCTCGATCGTCGCGGAGGCGGGCCTGGGGATCATCGCGCGTGGTGGCGACAAGTCAACCGTCTCCAGCGGGGCGACTGGGGCGTGGAGGTGCACGAGAGCGGCTTGCGGGCGATCGAGATGGTTGCGAGTTACGGCGCCCTCGAGGTCGCCAACCTGGCCTGCCTGGAGATCATCGCGAGGGAGCGCCAGCTTGTCGAGCACGCGCACTCTCGTGAGCCGACCGGGCAGGCCCAGACTGCCGACGCCAACAAGGACGGCAGCGAAGACAAGAAGGCCCGAGGCAAGGGCCAGGTCCGCGCGGACCTGCTCGAAGAGAATGACGTGTTCATGGGTCGTTATCGCGAGGCGGGTGAGACAATGGTGTCACCAGACCTGCTGGACTTGGTGGCGCGCGAGGCGAAACGATATGCAAGTGCGTTGAAGCATGTGCAGAAGGCGCGGGGGGAACGCCGCGCCATGGAAAACGCCGCGTGGTAGACGCCCGCCAGGTCTCGAGCCCCGGCCTGGCGGGAACCACAGGGCTGAATTTGCTCGCGGAGATGCTGACCGGCCCCCTCGACAGCAAGACCACTTGTCCTCTGCCATTTCTGGGCGCTGCCGATCCCCGCGCTCGGCCCAGCCCTCGCGCGCGTCGCGCGACGCAACGCTGGGCCCGGAGGCAGGCCGCCGCCGACTCAGCGACCGATGAGACGTCGGCACCCTGAATGACTTGCACAGGGCGCGCGGCGCCAGGTCCCCCCACGCGCCCGCGAGGCCGACGTTGGCGCGAAGACTCGCCCCAGATCACCTCCGACAGCGCGCGGCTGATATGGGGGCGCCTCCAGATGACGTCGGAGGGCCAGGGGCCTTCGACGAGCGTCCAAGCTGGCCTGCGACGGCTCCGCCTCTAGGCTGGACCTACCCCCCCCTGGCCTCCGCCCCGTCACGCTGGGAGAGGCCGCGGATGCAGCGGGCGAGTTGATCGAGAAGAGGCTGCTCGACAAGATGCTTCCTGGCGTGGAGTCAGAGGCAACAGTGAAGCCGCAAAGTGCGCCTCGGGTCCTTGAAGCGGACGCGCGCCGCTGACCTCCTCGACTTCCGCCGCTCAGTGCGCCGCCGCGCTGGAGCATTCAGCGCGCGGAAGAAGTCGAGGGCCCCGCGGCTCATCATCGACGCCCAGATCCCGAATGTTTTTTTTCGAGGGCCCCGACTCCGCGCAGCTGGCGAGCGGGGCGTGCTTCGCGAACCTTCAGCTCGACTCGGGGCCGCCGCTGGTGCTGGGTGGCGCCGACATCCACGCTGGTTTCTACGCGATCGCGATGCCGCGCCAGCTCAGAGACCTCTTCGGGTTTGACAGCATCTCCGCGCCTGGGAGTTGGGCATCGCCGAGGCGGAGGGCAAGCCCGCGCGGCCTGGTGAACGCATCCATCCTGTCATTGCGGCCCTGCCGATGGGGCGGGCGCTAGCCCTGCAGGCCTGCCAGGCCCTATATGATGAGCCTGCGCGACGGGGGGGCCCCCCCGGGCCTTGCGCCGATCGCCAGCGCCGAGTGCGTCGACAACTTCGCGCGCATTGCGCTGGGCCCCGCCGCAGTGGGAGACGCGACGCCCGGGGCGTGGTCAGCCGAGTGCGAAGGCGCCTGGTGGCCGCTGGCCTGCCGACGCGCGACGCAGAGGTGACCGTCGGCGTGGACGCGCTTGGATGGCGCTTCTCCGAGGACGGCCGTTGCCCGACGTCTCTTCGCAGCGCCTGGCGGCCCAGCCTGGCGCTGCTGTGCGCGGCGGGGGTCAGGCGAGCCAGCGGTCGCGAGATCCCTGCGATCCTCGGCCGCTCCACCACTCGTGGGCTCATCCGCCGCGAGGGATCGGCAGCGCCGCGGGCCCGTTTTGCTTGCGCGCAGCAGATGCAAAAGAATG